GATAGGAAATCAGTAGCATGTTTGAAACTACCAAATTTTGGTTCTTTGTGAACCGGGTATGTTAGATAAAATAGCTAATAGTGTTACTGTTTTTAAAAACAGAGCCACCTTTAAAATAGCATAAGGCACTTTATCAACGAAAAAATACCGTTATGAAGTGTTTTCAAATGTGACAATAAACAAATGAGTCTTCAGTTTAAATTTAATAGCAAAATTGGCTGAGCACAGTGGTTCATGCCTGTAATCCCAGCACTTTGGGAGGCCAGGATGGATCCCTCGGGAGTTCAAGACCAGCCTGGGCAACATGGTGAAACCCCGTCTCTACAAAAAATATGAAAATTAGCCTGGCGCGGTGGTGCGCACCTGTGGTTCCAGCTACAGGAGAGACTGAGGTGGGCAGATCACTTGAATCTGGGAGGTGGAGGTTGCAGTGAGTCATGATTGCACCACCGCACTCCAGCCTGGATAACAGAGTGAGACACTGTCAATAAACAAATAGCCAATCAACAAAAATAGATTTGGCACTATAATTAAAAACTGTTTGTAAGTTATACCCAAATAATTTTTATTGCTTTTGTTCCATGAAGTTCAAGATTGTACCTTGGACAAATCATTGATAATTGGGTGTTCTTGATTATGATGGTGCTTTGGGTCATTTCTCTATCGCTTATTTTTAATGTTGAAGTTAAACTTTTTTTCAGAGTTAATTGACAAGGCATTGCAGAAATCATGCTTATAAATTTTAAACAAATAAGATATAGTCAAAATCCTTTTGCAAAGAAATGTTTGGTTTCACAAAGTTAATTTCATGTTGGAGAATTCAAATCAATTTGGCTATAGTAAGTTATCTACGGTAAATAAATCTATTTAAAGAGTATTTTTCCTACCATTTTACTGTTATCGAAACAGTACTTAATTTTCTTTTCACTTTAAAATATTCAGAAATGGTGTTCATGTAGCTTTCTTATCAGTTTTAGGTGTTGTGTTTCAAAAATATGTTCTTATAACATATTTGTTATAAGAAGTCAAGTTAGGCTAGGCATGGTGTCTCACACCTGTAATCCTAGGTCAGGAGTTCAAGACCAGCCTGATCAACATGTTGAAACCCCATCTCTACTAAAAATACAAAACATTAGCTGGGCGTGGTGGTGGGTGCCTGTAATCCCAGCTACTCGGGAGGCTGAGGCAGGAGAATAACTTGAACCCAGGAGGCAGAGGTTGCAGTGAGCTGAGATCATGCCATTGCACTCCAGCTTATATGACAAGAGCAAAACTCCATCTCAAAAAAGAAATCAAGTTAGAGATAAACTAATTATTTTAGTAAGAAGATTTTATAGGTGCTTCATTTATAAGACAAATTTCCTGTAATTGGTTCCTCATAATGTATTTCCTTGCTAGATTCTCTCTTTCCTCTTTTATAAAATTGGAAAGAAAATAAATCCTTTTTTAGTAAAAGAAAAACTAGGCTGGGCACAGTGGCTCACATCTGTAACCCCAGCACTTTGGGAGCATGGGGCAGGAGGATCACTTGAACTCAGGCAACATAGTAAAACCCTTTCTTTACAAAAAATAAAAATAAAAATTAGCCAGGTGCGGTGGTACATGCCTGTGGTCCCAGATACTTGGGAAGCTAAGGTGGGAGGATCCTTTGAGCTTGAGAGTTTGAGGCTACAATGAGCCATGATTGTGCCACTACACTCCAGCCTGGGTGACAGAGTGAGACCTTATCTCAAAAAGAAAAAAAAAGAAAGAAAGAAAAATTCATTTGGAAATAATCTGTCTGTTGGAGCTTTTGCATAATGCCAAGCAAGTTGTTCCCTCTGCAAGTACACCTGGCTTAAGGCAGTGAGTGGGGCCTGAAATTCAGCCCACATTCCATTCTTCTAGCTGTGTGCCTTTAGCAGGGAAGCATTCACCTGGAGGAAGATTTGCCTTTTTTCCAGTTCACACAGAGATACAATATGGGCTACTGGCTGCATCTTTTCTTCTTCAGACATGTTAGAATACTGAACTCAAACAAATTGTCTCAGGCTTTATCCAAAAAGACAGGAATTGGAGAGGTCATTATTTTTGCTAGCCTCTTGGCTGTGGCATGTGGACATCATTGATTCAAATCCTTTCCCTCGAATATCATTCTTTCCCTCCCTGAGGTCTTTGCCCAACTGTAGCCTGCCCTCCTGAGGGTTTCCCTGACCTCTACATTTAAAATTGTAACCACTTTCCCCAATACTTTCTATTTTTCTTTCCTCTTAACTTTTTTTAAATTTGTTGGCCATTTGTATCTCTTCTTTGGAGAAATGTCTGTTCTGATCATTTGTCCATTTTTAAATTAGAGGGTTTTGGTTTGTTTGTTTTTTCCCTGTTGAGATGCTTTAGTTCCGTGTATATTGTAGATATTAATCCCCTGTCAGATAAGTAGTTTGCATATATTTTCTCCCATTCTGTAGTTTGTCATTTCACTGTTGATTGTTTCCTTTGCTATGCAGAAGCTTTTTAGTTTGATATAATTCTGTTTTTTTGCTTTTGTTACATATGCTATTGAGGTCTCATTCATAAAATCTTTTCCCAGACCAATGTCCTGAAGTGTTTCATCTTTGTTTTCTCCTGGTAGTTTTGTTTCAGGTCTTACATTTAGGTCTTTGATCTATTTTGAGCTGATTTTTGTATAGGGTGAGAGGTGGGAGTCCAGTTTCATTCTTCTACATATAGATATATCTAATTTCCTTTGTACCATTTATTGAAGAAAGTGTCTTTCCCCCAATTAGTGTTCTTCACACCTTTGTCAAAAATCAGTTGGCTGGGGCAGGTGCAGTGGCTCATGTAATCCCAGCACTTTGGGAGGCTGAGGTGGACAGATCACATGAAGCCAGGAGTTTGAGACCAGCCTGACCAGCATGGTGAAATTCCATCTCTACTAAAAATATAAAAATTAGCTGGGTGTGGTGGCACACCCCTGTAATCCTAGCTATTCGGGAGGCTGAGCACAAGAATTGCTTGAACCCAGGAGATGGAGGTTGCAGTGAGCCAAGAAAACTCCACTGAATTCCAGCATTGGCTATAGAACAAGACTCTGCCTCCAAAAATATATATATTTTTTTAAAAAATCAGTTGGCTATAAATACGTGAATTAATGTCTAGGTTCTCTGTTCTGTTCCATTGGTCTATATGTCTTATTTTTATGCCAGTACCATGCTTTTTTGGCTACTACATCTTTGTAGTATATTTTGAGGTCTGTTAGTATTTTGCCTCCAGTTTTGTTCTTTTTGCTCAAGATTATTTTGCCTATTTGGGGTCTTTTATAGTTCCATACAACTTTTAGAATTATTTTTATATTTCTGTGAAGAATATCATTGGTATTTTGATAGGAGTTGCATTGAATTTATAAATTGCTTTGGGGGTAGTGTTGTCATTTTAACAATATTAATTATTTCTATCCATGAGTATAGAATGTCTATTTGTATTCAATTTTTTCTAGGTATTTCAATTTTATTTTTTGTAGCTATTGTGAATGAGATTGCCATCTTGATTTTTTTCAGCTAGTTTGCTGTTTTGTGTATAGAGAATATTACTGATTGTTGTGTATTTATTTTGTGTCTTGCAACTTTACTGAAGTTATCAGTTCTAAGGGTTTTTTGGTAGAGTCTTTAGTTTTTTCTATATATAATATACCATTGTCTACAAACAGGGACATTTGACTTCCTCTCTTCCAACATGAATGCCTTTTATTTCTTTGTCTTACCTAATTGCTCCATCTAGGGCTTCCAGTACTATGTTGACAAAGAGTGGTGAGAGTGAGCATCCTTTTCTTGTTTCAGTTCTTAGAGGAAACGCTTTCAGCTTTTCCCCATTCACTAAGACGTTAGCTATGGATCATAAAGTCACATTTTACTTGGGGAAAAAGAGGTATAGTATTATGCGCTGTTTCATAGCAGCCAACATCTGATTTACTTAAGCCTGTTAATGTTATCGATAACAGTAGCATTTCCTACCTTAAGAGTGTTTATGGTCTAGTTGGAGAGAAAACAAGTCAGTATCTTCTTGGCTTTATTATCTGTAATCACTTATAAATTAGACATTGAAAGTAAATAGGATATCTTTATGGTAATAAAAATTTCCAGCTTTGAGATACGGATTAGAAATTTTGTATCTGAGTCTTACTTTATATTTGTTTTTGTAAGCTAAAATTTATAAACATTTTCTAACTTTTCTAATTATTAATGGTTAATTGAGATTATACCATTTTACTTTTCTTTAGTTATTCAGACTAATATATCACCAAGATGAAGAACTTATAGCAGTATATATAAGTAGATATGAGAATATAATAACTTTACCTGTAGTAGAACCTGCTGATTTTACCAATCTTTTAAAGCCCATTTTTAATGGAGTGTCTATTTGATTTCATGAATATTCTGTAAATCTGTAAGTTCTTATAGGCTTGTGTATGATCATGACTAAAAACATTACTAATTATTTTTGTTTCTGCATAATTATTCACTTAGCATTTATAGATTTACATGACCTAGATTGACCAATTACATATTTTTGTCTCCTGAAACTGGCATGTAATTAACATAGTACTTCATAACTGCGGATATGCATAGGTAATAGTAGTATTCAAGGTAAATGCAAAAAAAAATAAAGGAGTAATGCTGTACATTCTTAGCTAATTTAGTCTGTTTAAGGGAAACCTTACTGAAATACAGTTCAAGTTTTCATTTTCATTGTGAATAAAGAAGAGAACTTTTATTATTTATGGTACCTCTCTATCTCTTTTATACAATACTGTTCACGGAACTGTTTCATGATTGTAAGTGAACAAAATCAGACTTCAGAATAATATATAATATCTCATTTTTGTTTAATATATGTTTATGCTTTCTTCTTAGTAGAATATACACCAGAATTTTGATACTGGTTATCTTTGGGTGCATGCAAGTACTTATAATAGCCTCTCTTTTATAAAGAACATTAATATATGTTATTTTTTCCCTTTTTAGAATCTGATATCGATGCTGCTGCTGCAATGATGCTTTTAAATACTTCTATAGAACAAGGAATTTTAGAATGTAAGCAATCATTTTTTGAAAAAAATTTTTAGTGCCTTTTCAAATTTAACTTAAATTGTAAAATAACTTACAGGCAAAATTACTTCTTTCCAACCAAATTGTATCTTAATCTGAGTAATTCTGTTTCTGTTTTATTATACTTTCATTAATTTATGTGAGCAATTGAGAGATGGAAGTTAATGCCATGATTTTTTTTACATTGACCAAGAAATGAAGAAAAATATAACATATTTAGAAAATAAGCTTGAAGAGCTAAATGTAAAAATGAAAACTATAAACAAGAAAATATAGTAAGTAAAGTATATTTGTGAACTTGGACTAGGAAAAGCTTTAATATACAAAATGCAAAATCCGTAAAGAAAAAAATGGGTAAATTTAATAAAACATCAAAATTGTAGCCTTCTGGTCAGACATGGTGGCTCATACCTGTAATCCTAGCACTTTGGGAAAGAGGCTGAGGCAGGTGGATCACTTGAGACCAGGAGTTCCAGACCAGCCTGGGCAACATGGCAAAACTCCATCTCTACAAAAAATATAAAACTTAGCCATATGTGGTGGTGCATGCCTGTAGTCCCAGCTGCTCGGGCCACTGAGGTGGGAGAATTGCTTGAACCTGGGAGTCAGAGGTTGCAGTGAGCCATAAGCATGCCACTGCACTCCAACTTGGGTGACAGAGTGAGACTCTGTCTCAAAAAAAAAAAAAAAAAAAAAAAAAATTAGCATTCTGACAACAAAGTATATCTAAGAAAAGCTTACATAAAATGCTAGAGACATGTTTTCTCCATCTATAACAAAGGATTTCTATCAAGTATATACATAAAAGAATTCTACAAGTAAGAAATAAGAAAACAGTTCAACCAAAAAGTCAGCAAAATATATGATGAGGTGGGTCTTAGAAGAGGAAATGTATGTGGGCAATGCACATGTGAAAAGAGGTGCAACTTCTCTAGAAATTGGGGAAACACAAAATGAGACAATATCGAGATAACATTTTTGTCCATAAAATTATAAAAAATTTAAGTGATTGATAATAGTGTTAAGTAGGGAATAAGTTTTGTTATACACTGTTGAGAGTAAATTGGTACAGCCATTTTGGAGGGCATTTTGAGAATACCAATTATAATTTAAAATGTATGTATCCCTTAGCAATTTTTTCATATCTCTTTTTAAAAATTACTTGCATATATTCAAGAAAAGGCATCCGGAAGGATTTGTATTGCAGCATAATTTATACTAATGAAAAATTGGAAACAGCCTAAATATTAACACGGAATTGATTAGCTAAACAGTGGTACATTCATATTGAGGCATTCTTTGTTAGCAATTCAAAATAGATGTTCAATGGAAAAGTCAAGACATTGTTAAATGGTTTTTAAGTGTTTCAAATTAATACTTGCAGAATGATACGTTCTGGGTAAAAAAGTAAAAAATCTACAAAGCATCATTAATCTAAAATAGTTACTCCTCAAGAGTAGTAGAGTAGTTTAAAATGGTCTGTTTTTGCAACCAAATACATTTGACCTATTGATGGAAGTTTTATTTTCCACAGGTGAGAAGCCTCTTCCTATTAAAACAGCATTGCAAAAAAAAAGGAGTTATGGCAATGCGTTTCATCATCCCAGTGCTGTACGATTACAAGAGAGTGATTCTTTAGCCACCAGCATTGATCCAAAAGAAGATCACAATTACAGTGCAAGTAGCATGGCAGCACAGCGTTGCGCATCCAGGTCTAGCGTGTCTTCCCTGTCTTCTGTGGATGAGGTGTATGAATTTATCCCAAAGAATAGCCATGTGGGAAGTGATGGCAGTGAAGGATTTCACAGTGAAGAAGATACAGACGTTGATTATGAAGATGATCCTCTTGGAGACAGTGGCTATGCATCACAGCCTTGTGCAAAAATCTCTGAAAAAGGGCAGTCAGGCAAAAAGATGCGAAAACAGACATGTCAAGAAATTGATGAGGAGCTCAAAGAGGCAGCTGGATCTCTGCTCCACCTTGCTGGAATTCGTACCTGTTTAAGTTCCCTAATAAGTACTGCAAAGACACAAAATCAAAAACAACGGAAAAAATAGAAATACTTAAAGTGTGGCAATACTCTTTCACTTAATTCTTTACAAGGGATATCAAAGCCATAATGGACTTCGTTAGTTTTAGGGTAGGGAAGGGATACTAATTACTTACTTCTTTCAAAACATTTTTGGTTTTTAAAATTTTTATTAAACAATTGCTGTCAGGATCATGCCTGATCGGAAATATATGATGTGAAGCCCTAAAAGCATAATTTTTGTGATAAGTGTCTCCAAGATTTGGAAATTTTTATATAAGGATATCCCCAGCCTCTGTCTTAAACTTGTAGGACAAAAATCCTTCCCTCTGTTAATATGTTGGAATGTAAGATTTGGTGACTCTCAATTTTTTTCATTTTCTTTTCCAATCTGTAACTATAGTTACTGATCCAGCTAAAAATTTTGCTGATGTCTTTTTCATATACTTCTCTCCTGACACATAGTCTGGTAGGATAAGATTGATTTTTTTTTAACTTTGTCTTATTTTGTTTTTAATTATTTTTTTGTTTGGTGTGAGCAAAGTCAAACATAAATTTAAAAACATCCTGATGTTTAGAAAGTTTCTTTTGGTTACATAGGTAGAGAATACAAAAAGGGTTCTAAGATTTAGAAAGGGGAATTTTGTGGTATCATTTCATCTAAGAACACTCCCAATTCCTATTACGATGGTAGATTTGAAGTGTTTTTACTTCACAGATACTGCATAGCATTTATTGGGGCCTTTATTTCTCTCCCAAGGTGCTTTGCAAACATTAAGTTTTAGCCACTAGCTGCCTTTGTTGAGTGTAAGTTATCCAGTGAGAGGAGATAGCCAATAAAATATGTTATGGAGTACACCCATTTTGACACACTTGTAATAAGAGAATCTTTCATTTGCCTGCCGCATGTACTGCATTCTGAGAATCTTGTAACAGGAATGGAGTGTAATGAAACATTTTGAGTACTGATTACATATGTCATCATAAGTAGGTCATTTAGGAAAAAACTTCTGTCCAAGCTTTGTATGATTAAATTCATAAGTATACCAAATTAAATGTTAACAGATTTAGTGCAATTTTACAGGCAAAATACTTTGATGAATTTCAAAATTCATCTAAAATTGATCTTATACAATACACCCTTTTGAGGACACAGTGTAATAACCTTTAGTGCCATTGATCCATGATGAAAAGATTTTCTGGTACTATTTCAAAAATGCTTTGACTAAATATCTTAACTATTTGAACAGTCTGCTTATATGAGACAGTTTTTCATAGTATCATTTATATAGTTTGATTAGATTATTTGGAAACAGGATGCTAAACTAAACTTATTCATTGTATTTTTTTTTTTTTTACAATGGTGGAAGCACCTTTTCAAAAGTTCAGTCTTATGCTGCATCCTAAGTCATAGACAATGATCTTGTTTTCATTATTCTGATAGATTATGTACATATGTACACATACATACACAACATGCACAGTCAAGGTAACAATGTTGACTTGATGCTTTTAGCTGTGTCTATGATTATAAAGCATTATTTTAAGAGACAAATATTTTAACTTTTATTTCAGCAAAACTGTCATGATTTTAAAAACTTTTTTTTCAATTGACAAGACTTGAAGTCAGGCTAACAGTATTAATGTTCTCTGTTCTGTTTCCATGTTAAATTTAATTTAACCTGGATAGCCACATTAATGAATTGGTGCTGTCAAAATACAGTAATTTTTAAACTTGTTAATGAAAAATAGCATACAGGCTAAGGTATTTGGGTTTTTTCTTTTTATAGGTCACATCTACAGAAAATGACTAAACCGAGTTAACTTTTATTATAGACAGTGAATAAAACACCAAAAAACCAAAAATGCTTTAACCACAGTATAAATTATAAAAAGATTACACATATCATTTTAATAACTATTTTTAAGTTATTTACCATAGTCTTCTGCATAGACTTTAGGAACAGTGTTTCAGTGATCTGGTACCAGTTTATTTTGTTCTGAAATTCTATATCACAAATGTGCCACTTGGTTTCTATCTATTAGATAATTACTCTTTAGAAGAAAAGGAAAGTGATCTAAGAGAAGCAGAGTTAGTTCAGGCTCTAGTAGGGATCTTCAAAGTTATTTTGTCTTGATGTATGTAACAGTAATTCTTTACATCTTTTGAATTTTCTCTTCCTTTTTATGCACTCTTCCCACAAATTTAAATGTTTAAGTTATATTCATCACTAGCAAGGATGATAAACATTTGTGCACTGAAAGCTAACAGGGAGAAGTTACACAATATTTTACAGTTTCATAAACATAATTTAGTGCATCACCTTCCACTTGCTAATTTAGCAAGTCAGTTGTTTTCAAAGGGGCGAGCCTTTTAAATTATGGTCCTCCAATTACTCCTTCCATTGGGATTATGCTTATTCCTCAGGTGTTTTGAGAAACATGGCTAATAACCACACAATTAAGTAGAGTCATTCCAAGTTCTATGGACTGGAAATTGTATTCCCAATAATATGCAAATTTTCCTGTAATAAAAACAGCTTGGAAACTCCAAGGAAGTTCACATGTTTTCCAACATATCCTAAAACGGTGATTTAAGCTAACATATAATTTGCCCTTCATCAAAACAATACAAGTTTTGTTGCAACTGATTCCAGTAGATCCCTAGTAAAAAGCTTTGATTCAGCACAATTGTTCATCTTTCACATCCCAAATAGAATCAGTGTTTCTTGAATATATATTTTTGAAGTTTTTTGTGCAATATATTACTAAATCAGTTATTATTTTACTTTTCAAATTCAGAGAAAGAAAAACAGATTACCTGAATTCATGGAAAAGGTGGATCACCTCCCTTTTTCCATCTTCAAGCCTTTCCTGTCCTCATAGCCAGCATGACTTCTTTTAACTTGAATTCCTTTGTATATAGTATAGTTAGGTATATATATTTTTTCTTTTGCTACTTTCTGAGGCATTATGTAAAGAGTTCATACTAGATGTTCACTTCAATATACTTTAGCACAAAGTCAAACTAGAGAATGTGTTAAAGAGGGAATGTATGTGTCTTGGTAGACTAGGAGGCCTTTCCCAGCAATTTAAGCAAAAGATGTGAATACTTCACAAAGCTGTAAAGACCATTGTCTTAAATACTACAACACCTTAACACCCTTTTGTGAACGCCATAGCATTTATTTAAGAAACTTTGAGGCTTTCTGGTTTACATATATGTTATAGGTTTTTTTTAAGTTTGAAATGTGTAAGCTTTGATTTAAACCAAGTTTACTTCAATATGTTAATGATGTAGTAAAAATATTTATTGAAAGGCAAATTGGAGTATTTTAATATTATACCTGCCATTTTTTTTTCTTAAAGCATATTCTTTGCATCTAACTGCCAGTGCCATTGTCAAAACTTATTTTTTAAATTGTTGTACATTTCTTATTAAACTAAGTGCTTAATTTTAAAGTATTATGTTGCCATCATATAGTGTATAAAAACGTATAATTGCCAATTCATTGTAACTATTATTTATTTTTAAATGAAAGTGTAAGAATGCTTTCTGATTCAACAAATTTGTTATCAAACTGTTTTCTTATTCTTTTTTCTGATGTCGCGTAAAAATTGTCCCAGTTTGAGTTATAACTGCCAATAGATGACCAGTCACAAGTGAGCCACTTCTCCGTTGCCAGTCTTTGCTCATATTAAAAACAACTTACAAACGCTTAGTTTTTGTATCTAATCTCTGGTTATTAAAATGTTTATAAAGTTTATTTTTACCAAAGAGAAGCAATCCATTATGACAAAGTATTGCATAATAAACTTTGTTTTATAACATTTTTGTGCTTTATCTGATCTTTTGTAGGATAGAGTGGGGACAGGGGCAGGGTAGTAGGGCAGATGTGGTGGCTCATACTTCTACACGCATTTTCCATACAAAGTTGGAGTCAGGGAAATGAAAAAATAGTTTCATTTCAAAAATTTTTTAAAGTACCATTTTTTGTGATTTTTAGATGTTATCTTAATTATTGAAAGCTAAAACAACATTAAGTTATTATCTTCCTAAAGTTGAACTTCTTTTCCTGTTGATTTACATATATCTGAAATATTTTTAAATATAACTGGGAAAAATGGAGTAGAATGTGAAACCAGCCTGGCCAACATGATGAAACACTGTCTCTACTAAAAACACAAAAATTGGCTGAGCACGGTGTCTCATGCCTGTAATCCCAGCACTTTGGGAGGCCAAGGTGGGCGGATCACCTAAGGTTGGGAGATCAAGACCAACCTTACCAATATGGAGAAACCCCATCTCTACCAAAAATATACAAAAAATTAGCTGGGCATGGTGGCACATGCCTGTAATCCCAGCTACTTGGGAGGCTGGGGCAAGAGAATCACTTGAACCCGGGAGGCTGGGGCAAGAGAATCACTTGAACCCAGGAGGCAGAGGTTGAGGTGAGCCGAGATTATGCCATTGTACTCCAGCCTGGGCAACAAGAGTGAAAGTCCGTCTCAAAAAAAAAAACAAAATACAAAAATTAGCCAGCTATAGTGGTGAACACCTGTAATCCCAGCACTTTGGGAGGCCGAGGCAGGCAGATCACAAGGTCAGGAGTTCAAGACCAGCCTGGCCAACACAGTGAAACCCTGCCTCCACTAAAAATGCAGAAATTAGCTGGATGTGGTTGTGGGTGTTTGTAATCAGCTACTTGGGAGGCTGAGGCAGGAGAATCACTTGAACCTGGGAGGTGGAGATTTCAGTGAGCCGAGATCATGCCACTGCACTCTAGCCTGGGTGACAGAGCTAGACTTCATCTCAAAAAAAAAAAATAAATAAAATAAAAAAAAAAAAAAGGTTCTCAAAGAGATATTTGTTTACCCATGCTTAGCCAAAAGGCAGAAGCAACACAAATGTTCATTGATAGATTAATGAATAAAATATGGTACCTACATACAATGGATTTTTTTTTTTTTTTTTTTTTATGAGACGGAGTCTTAGTCTTGTTGCCCAGGCCGGAGTACAATGATGTGATCTTGGCTCACCACAACCTCGGCCTCTTGGGTTCAAGCGATTCTCCTGCCTCAACTTCCCAAGTAGTTGGGATTACAGGCATATGCCACCACACCTGGCCAATTTTTGTATTTTTAGTAGAGATGGGGTTTCTCCATGTTGGTCAGGTTGGTTTTGAACTCTTGATCTCAGGTGATATGCCTGCCTCGGCCTCCCAAAGTGCTGGGATTACAGGCGTGAGCCACTGCGCCCAGCCTATAGAATAGATTATTATTTCACCTCAAAAGAGAAGGGACTTTTGACACAAGCTACAACATGGATGAAACTTGAGGATATTATTGTAAGTGAAATAAGCCTGTCAGAAAAAGAAGAGTACTGTATGGTACCTACAGTAGTCAAACTGATAGAGACAGAAAATAGAAAGATGTTTGCCAGGGACTGGAGGAAGAGGGGAATGGGGAGCTGTTTAATGGGCCTGGAATTTGAGTTTTACAAAATGAAAGCGTTCTAGAAATTGCACAACAGTGTGAATGTGCTTAACACTACTGAAGTGTACACACAAAAATAGATTACTAAATGTTATGTACAATTTTACCACAATTTAAAAAAACAAAAAAATGAGATATCAAGCTATGATGGAAATTTAAACACATATTACTAAGTGAAAGAAGCCAATCTTTGACTTAGTTAAAAGGTTCACTTACTGAGCCTTAGAAGGCTCACTTCTATGATTCCAACTACAATCTTATGTCGCTTAGCAACAGGAATACCTTCTGAGAAAAGTACCAGGCAATTTTCTTACTGTGGGAACATCATAGGGTATACTTACAGAAACTTAGATGGTATGACCTACTACATAACTAGATTGTATGATGTATAGCCTAGAGCTCATAGGCCACAAACCTATGCAACATGTTACTGTCCCAAATACTGTAGACAATGGTGACACAATGGTAATTATGTATCTAAACACAGAAAAGGTGCAGTAAAAACAGTATAAAAGAACCCGGGAGGCAGAGGTTGCAGTGAGCTGATCATGCCACAGCACTTCAGCCTGGGCGATAGAGAGACTCCATCTACACACATACACACACGCAAGCACACAAAATATATATGTATAAATAGTTTATTTAATCCTCACATTGACACTATGAAGTTAATGAGGTAAATGTTACCATTTATTGATGAAGAAATACAGACTTGAGGAGTTTAAATTGCCCATGGTTACACTAGTTAGTAAATGATTTTAAAAAACAGGTCTGATTCTAGATTTTGTGCCTTAATTACCAGGCTTTACTGCCTCTGGGTTATAGGACTATACAAGCACAAGAACATATTTGACCGTTGATTCATTTGCTAAACAAATCAGCATGAAGCACTTTTTTATTTTTGGATGGGATCGCCCTCTGTCACCCAGGCTGGAGCACAATGATGCCATGTTGGCTCACTGCAGCCTCCACCTCCCACATTCAAGCAATTCTCCTGCTTCAGTCTCCCAAGTAGCTGAGATTACAGGCACAAAACCACCACCCAGGCTAATTTTTTTTTTTTTTTTTTTTTGTATAAACAGGGTTTCTCCATGTTGGCTAGGCTGATCTCAAACTCCTGGCTTCAAGTGATCCACCTGCCTTGGCCTCCCAAAGCACTGGGATTATAGGTGTGAGCCACTGCACCCGGCCATAACATGAAGCATTTATTAAATCCCCACCACTCTACTGGGCCTTGGCCGTTGGTAGTAAACAAAAGTCTCTGCCCTCATGGAGATTGTATTCTTGTGGGAGGAGAATAGACAAAATAAGAAATTGAAATAAAATAACAGAAGTGATAAATGCTATGAAGAAAAACAAGATGCCGAAGAGGAAGTAAAACCAGGGTGACAGTTGCTATTTTAGATAAGTTGGGCATCTGAGCAGAGCAGGGATGGAGTGATGTGCAGGAGCCCATCTGCAGGTATCTTGAGGAGGAGCCTCTAGGCAGGAACCAGGGAAGGTCAAGGAAGGGCAGCCCTTTGATGCGTTTACAGGAACTGCAAGAATAATAGCTACTGTACCCAGAGGAAGCTGTGCAAAGACTGGTAGGAGATGATGACATTCAGGTTCCAGGGACCATGGTAAGAACTTAGAATCCAAGATCAGGGGAGTGAGGGAACCAAATGTGCATTTCAAAGAGCCACTATTGTGTCCTGACACTTGAAGATTGCTCCTAGCAAATCTTAAATACAAATTCTTAGTCAAACATCTTCTAAGAAAACAGTATATCCTATGCAGTATAAACTGTTATAGTTACTCTTCAAGCTAAAATAACTTCTAAACCACAAAATATATAATCCAGCAAGTTAAGAAAGAGTTGTTTCTCTAAACTGGTATCCATATTACTGTACCTTATTTAATTATTTACTTTTTTTTTTTTTTTTAAGAGACAGAGTCTTGCTTTGTTGCCCAGGCTGGAGCTGAAGGGCAAGATCATAGCTCACTATAACCTCAAACTCATAAGCTCATGTGATTCTCCCACCTCTGTCTCCTGAGGAGTTAGGCCTACAGGCATGCATCACCATGTCCTGCTAATTTCTTTTTTATTTTATGTTTTATTTTGTAGAGATGGTATCTCACTTTGTTGCCCAGGCTGCTCGTGAACTCCTAGCCTAAGCACTCCTCCCTCCCTGGCCTCCCAACCTTATTAACAAATGGTTTTATATGATAAAATCTTACCTATTCTCATTTGCATAAAGGTCAGCCTACATTATTGAAAAGTATATTGAAATAGATACTACTTTTAAATATAATTGGAACAAAAACATCTAAGTTTTTTAGGACATTAAGGGAATAGAGAGGAGTAACTTTATAATTAGCCTATCCAATAGATTTCATTAAGTAATTCAAGCATTTTCTTAAGGTCTTGCTTACAGTATTGAATCTCTTAAGTAGAGTAAAAGTAAGTAAGAAGCTGAATCTTAATCAATTAAAGTACTAGCAATTCTACAAAATCATTTGACTCAAACACTTACTAATCCTTCAAGTAACTGCCAGCCAGCACATACTTTAAGAACTCAGATGTTTTGGTATCTTTCTAGTCAAATGAACACAAGCATGTCAGTAGGAAAACTTCCCCTCACATCATATTGATCTAATTTAAAGGACTCCCACCCGCTTTCTGCCTTCACTTGCACACGAATCTGAATTCTTAAAGGAAATTATACATAAATTGTTTTTTCTTGAATGAAAGTATTTGAGTATAATTCTGTGTTTTCTTGCAATTTGATTCTGTGTAAATACTATCTTTCCCTCTTTTAAATGAATTTTCCCCAGGAAATATATGGTCAGCTTTAATTCACTTTAAGAACAATCGTTGAAGGCCGGGCGCGGTGGCTCAAGCCTGTAATCCCAGCACTTTGGGAGGCCGAGGCGGGTGGATCACAAGGTCAAGAGATCGAGGCCATCCTGGTCAACATGGTGAAACCCCGTCTCTACTAAAAATACAAAAAACATTAGCTGGGCATGGTGGCGCGTGCCTGTAATCCCAGCTACTCAGGAGGTTGAGGCAGGAGAATTGCCTGAACCCAGGAGGCGGAGGTTGCGGTGAGCCGAGATCACGCCATTGCACTCCAGCCTGGGTAACAAGGGCGAAACTCCGTCTCAAAAAAAAAAAAAAAAAAAAGAACAATCGTTGATTATTCAAATGAGAAATTACAATGTTTAAATACTTTCAGCCAGCTGTTGGAAGAGGCAATGGTGTACTTATATATTTCAATTGACATACTATTACTTACACATTACAACTGACAACTGCATACTACAGGCTCTTTATCAGTGGAGCATGGCCATATAT